CTTGACTTTGATTTAGTAAAGAACCAACTTGCTGAAATTGTGACCGATTTGTCATAGATCCAATCTGTGGAGATGATCGATTTGACAAAGAACCAGATTGCGGTGACTGAGATTGTTGTTGATTTGTCAAGGGACTGGGACGTTGAGCTTTGGAATTATTTTGTGGGGGTGGTGCGGAAGAAGACGGTTGATTACCTCGTCTAACATTGTCAACCATAGGTGTCGATACAGGTGTCGACACAGGAGAAACCTGTTTGACAGGTTCTTCTTCCTTTTTCTTTGATTTCCTTTTAAAGAAGTTCCTAAATATACCACCACTTTCTTTCTTTTTCTCTTCCTTCTTTGATCTCCCGGATTTTTTATCATCCGGTACCTCTGCAATCTTTATAGATTCACTGGATGCTATATTAATTCTTGTAAGCTCATTATCACTACCAACTTTTTCGAGAGGTCTACTGGGTCTTGTCTTTGGTTTATTCCCTTCATCTTCCTCATCCGAGAAATCCATGAAGTCACTACCTAAAGCTGGAGTTAATGACATTTTAATTGTTTCATTTTTGTTATCTATAACATCTTGAATGTTATGGTTCGAGGAATTAGGATTGCGCGTTGATTGATCGTATGTTAAATTATTTTCTAATTGTCCAGTTTGCTTTTTTATTTGGTATACCTGTGACCGTTGTGATGGTTGTGATGGTTGTCTTATATCATCGCTTTGTTGTGATATCACTGATTGTGGTTGCCCATATTGTTTATTTTGTTTTTGTTGATTCTTCTCTTGTCTATGTTGTTGATTCATTTCTTGTTCATATTGTTGATCATCCGTTCTTTTAACATTTACTTCAACGGTTTCAATTCCTGTTACTTTAATGGAATTATTGGATGTTCTATCGGAACTATATTCAATTCCTGTTGCTTTAATGGAATTATTGGATGTTCTATCGGAACTATATGTTCTATCTGAATTAAATGTTCTATCAGAGCTATTGGATGCCTTATTATTCTCTTGACTCATAGAATGATTACTTTCAGGATTTATTACTTGTTTATCAGCATATTTTATTTCTTCTGGTTCATTTACTACTTGTGCATCAGTTATTTTCTCATGCTGTACAACTGACTGTGTAGTCACTTCAATTCTACCCACATAGTTTTCCTTTTCTTCTTCTTCTTCATCCTCACA